GGGGGGGGGGGGGGGGGGGGGGGGGGGGGGGGGGGGGGGGGGGGGGGCAGTGGGCACGAACTCACCTTTACTATACAAACGTCGGTTAAAATTTGGTGACTTTGTAGCCTGCAAAGCAGATGTATTTTGCCGTGCTAACGATTTGGACGTTGAAACTGACAGAGAGATTCGGCGAGTCTCAAAAATGATTCCAAGGGGGAGGTTGACGGTTCAAAATAATGGAGTGGGAGGGGAGGAAAAAATACGCGAGCGTTTTCTCCCCGCCCCTCCTTTCTTAGTTTTCCAGTTGATTTCATGAAGGCTTCTGCGATCAAAGTAAATCTGGGCCGCGCTTTCGGGAGAAAAGAGCAACAACAACTGCTCTGCAGGCGACGACTTTACGGAGCTATACCTTCCTTAGTTTTCCACAAATCACGTTAAACTTGGTATCTTGACTACGTTAGGGTCCATTTACAGAGAACATACCGTATTTACTCAAAAGAGTACATTTCTCGGAAACCGGTCGTTTCGATAAAAAGTCGTTTCGATACAAGTCGTTTCAATACGAACTCAAGCAGTGAAATTACCCAAGGAGTTCGTTCACTTCACGTATAGTTTACGCGTAAACAAGAAAAACATTTTGGGTGAATATTCTTTGTTATTTAAGCTGAGGACGTGAAACTATTTACGCTTCGACTGAGAAACTTGTATCGAAACGACCGGTAAGCCTCGGAACATACCGTATTTATTTGAAGAAGTGCCTCTAGATTAACTGTTGTCCAATCAATACTACACGTAGAAGCAAAAATAATTATGCATCCTTTAAACAGCAATGCAGCACTTATTGATATCATACTGTTTGGACTGAACACTGACTTTTGTTACGTTCATTTGGTGTCCTAATTGCTTTTGAGCAACAGAAAGAGGGAAAAAAAGGAAACACAATTCCTTGCTGTGCGCAGACGCGCGACGTTTTATTTCTGTCCTGCCCTTTAATGAGCACTGCACATGAAGTCAAAGAGATGGCTAAGCAAAGCAGCACTTTATAAGTGCTGCGTTGCTTACTAGTTTAACTATTTGTTCCTTTTTGTTTTTTTCAATATGTTTGTATTAACATCTACTATCATTGTGACTTCTAGTATCATTCTCAAGTCTTATGTTGGATCTACTAAGTCTTTGTAAATCGAAGTTCCTTCAGTACATTGCGCTTGTACAGTTCTCAAACCTTCGTGGTAAGCACAAAAGGGTTAAATAGTTGGAATGTACTCTTTGGGTGTAAAGTTTAAAATTTTATGATGATGATTATTTCCACTTTTATCAGGGGCACCCAACGACGGTTTCCTCCAAAATACGTTGAAAACACTTTTTAGGCTATCCAGAGTACTTTATGGTCTCTAGAAATGCAGTCTAAGCGGCCCTACAAAATTTTAATCTGTTCGGTCATCATAGGGGAACGTAAGTGCTTTCGAAATTACAAGGGCTTCAGTATTATTTTCCAGAAAATTTTAGGTGCAATTTAACGTTTTACGAAAGTAAAAATTATTCTGATTCCTGTCTCCATCACATTTTAGAATCCGAAAATTTGGGGTTTCCTTTTTCTTAGAAAAATAGTGTAACCTGGGTAGTAAAGTATGAAAATTAAACTTCAGAAAATCGTAGGGAATTTATTAGATGAGCTACGAAAATTGAACATGAGTGGAACGTTCCATCTATAAATTTTTAGCCGTCATCAAGCTAAAGAAAATTCTAGGCAATATTTGTTTCTCCGAACAGATATTTTACAGAAAACAGTCGTTGGGTGACCCTGTTTTATTTATGTACACTGTATTTAGAGAGGTATTTAGTGCTCCTGTTGCCAGTTCATTTCTGGGACTAAAAGTATATTCGTTGACTCGTGTAACCGATTTTTATTTACTCTTGACGGAGAGAAAACAAAGTTCAAATCAACCGTGAAAGTAGCGTGGACGCCCAACTGTAAATATCAAAATTTGGGTCGTTTCCTGAATGTCTTAGCAGATATTAATAATGGCATGCGAAGCTGCATCGGACACCCGTTAGGGTGTCTCGTGAAGTATGCAAACATCGCGAAACATTCTATTTAACGTACGTAACTGTACCAAATTCCCGTCATTTGGAATTTTCCCTTGAAATTACTCTTCCTCAAGTTTAACCATAGTTTTGTAAGTAACTTGGTTTGTCTCACAGTAAGACAGTCGTAGTATACCAAGCTCTTAGGGATATATATTTTTTTATTCTTTTAGTTTCTTTGTTTGTTGTTATTATGACGCTAAATGTAGTAAAAGTACTCCAGTGTAAATACCGTCTATAATGTTTGGTGGCTGGTATGTTGGAGGAACGGTAATAAAGGTTTATGAAGCTGACAAAGTACCATGGATATTGCGAACTGAACAAACTTGACACGTAGCATGCTACACTCTATACCCCCCCCGCCCCCCAACCCTTTTGGTGGCTGTGTGTAAGTATGGTCAGATTTAATACAAAGCAGTACAGTACATATATACCTAGAATGATTTATTTATAATGATGGAAGCAATTTCGGACCTCGTACAGAGAACCTCTGACCTCGTCCTTAGTTGCTATTCTAAGATGTCAAGACAATCTTTCCAAAAAATGGTAGCATAATGACAAAAGCCTGGGTGTTTTTCATCATTGACGTTGATGTTGCCTGAGGTTCGCCATTTGCATAGTTCTGATTGCAATTCTTTATGTCAAAAAAAAAAAAAATGAAGAATGTAAATCATGATACTCCACGGTTTTTTTTGGACAAAATAGAATAATGAGTCAACCTGATTCTCCCATACGCAAATATGGCTCCATTGATATTTGAAACTTTAGGGAAATTTCTTAACGGCATCGTAGTTTCGCGCAGTGAGCTTGCTGATCTCTCCTGAAATTAATGAGATCCGGCATGGATCGCTTGTGTTTAATTGACCACTCCAGAAAATACCATAACATACCATAATGCTCTTTGTTTCTCACCCCAAAATTTTGCATAAGCTTTGTCTTCAGTTTCTCTTGTTGGATTTTACTAAAAGATCAGAGCTGTACCAGAAACATAGTGAAGAAATTCAACTAGCGAAACAGCCAGGAAATTCTTACGTTCAGGGGCTGTTACGTTTAGGGATTCTTACTGCCCGGGACTCTTTAGGGGTTCTTAGTTACAGGGGTTCTTACGTTCCGGCTTTGTAAAGGATGTGATTTATAGTAAGGGGTTTATCTAACATCTCAGTCAAAGCCATTTCTATATACGGGGGTTTTCCCAGATGTTGATAATGATTCCAACCCTTTCAACAGTGGCTTTTATAATTGCGTCACAGCAAGGAGAAAAACAAATTAAATAAACATAAGTCAGTATTATATGAGCGCCTTTTATCTCCTTTTTAATTATGCGAAAAACAAATGAAGTCTATTCGAGATAAGTCCAGTTTACACGATGCTTGACTGAATCTTGGTTTAGCTTGACATCACTTCAGACAGCACAGATTATAGCTATTAGCAACTGCACGTTTAGCTGTCGGTAGACGTCGGTTGTAAGTCAGCTGGTGTGAAGGACTCTTAGAGGACAGAGTAATTTTTCACCACAGGACGTTTCAAGAATTTCAGCCTTGAAAACAAGAGACAAAACTTAAGGTACTGTCTGTTTAAGAGACGTGCGCATACCTGATAATGTTAGGTTCGAATAGTTGGATTTCACAGTCTTCAAATGTAAAATTACCGACATCTGAGCTGATGAAGACTCGTATGAAACTGAGGACTGCCGGCTGTTAAAAGCTTTTGTTTGTAATATCCACTCTTGTTTTTCCCATTAGTCTTAACTGAACACCTAAAGGATAAGAAACATCCCCACATTCTTACATCACATTTTTACAGCTTAGGAGTTTTTATTTTAATGGTCACTCCTACAGTGTAGTTGAGGATTTTATCCACAGACGTAAAATTGAAGAAAAAAAATCCTTTGCGTGTTAAATATAACGAACAGTTCCACATGAAAGAGTCGCTGAATGACTTTCCTTACAACAGCGTTGGGGGAATTTCTCAACCATGAAAATTTCGATAGAATCCAGCCTGAACTGAACAGGAATCTAGTAACATGCACAGTACTGATAAAACACTATTGATGGGGAGTGGCTGTACAGTACCGCAAATGATCCCCAACCGCAAATGATGCCGAGACCGCAAATGATGCCCAAAATGGACCGCAAATGATCCTCGACCGCAAGTGATCCCCAAAGTCGACCGCAAATGATCCCGAAAGAAAAATAGGAATGGTTTAGACTCGAGTTAGCGGATCAACGTGTCGATTTTATTATTATTATTACAAAGAGTAAGATTAAACGCTAAATTTTAGTTCTTAAATAAATACATGAATAAAAACTAAATGAAAAAATCATTCAAGTGTAAAAACGAAGTCGGTAGGCAACACACGACTTTTACCTCATGCCAAAATGCTGCTTGTTCCAATGAATTTTTTCTCTGACCGGTAGATTATACCGCTGAGGGAAAACGTTTTGTCTGAGCAAATGTGATTTTTGCCGTTTATTTCATACTGAAAGGTCATGATACGCATTTTCTGCGGTTATTGTTGTTTCTGGTAAGCATGATTTGTCCTTTAATGCAAGAGCATTTCCTTTGACCTCTTTTGAAATGCAATACTTTTCATTGCCGCTAAATAAGGGTTTTAGGTTGTTTAATTTTCTTTAAAAAGCCTCATGGATCCGAATGATTATAAGCGACTTTCTTTTAGTCCGTGAATGTTACGGTTCCTACGATGTTTTGTCACGTGATAACGACCGCTTGCCTCGCTCTTGCGTAATTCA